ATTTTATGGCCAGTTGTTTGATCCAAAATTTGAAATATACACTCTTTTGATTCTAATGAACAAACACAAAAAAGGAAAACTCTAAAACACCATCTAGGAATATTTTTTTAGCTCAATTAACATAGGCCATTTATTTTGGTGAGATGTTTAGATCTAGGCCTTAGAATGATTTTTTCATTTTAAATTTTTTTGGATGGTTGTATTATCATTAGATAAACAATATTAAAAAAGGAAAAAATTTGAGTTTATAAAGCCTAATATCTTGAAATTCAAAAAATAAATGGTCTAGATTCGTGTTTGGAGCACACTTTTTTTATCATATTTAGGATTCAAATTGAATTTTTTTTTTTTGAATTGAATATTGAGATGAAGAGAGTGTGTGCGCAAAATTTGGGGTCATACAAATCCACAAGCATGGTTTTCTAGAAGTGTCGCTACATTATACTATGATACAACCGTTGCATTCGATCATTGCTCTTTGTTTTACGCAAAAGAAAACTTAAGAGACTTATAACATTTAATTTGATTTGAAGGGTGTTGGAAAAGAAAGGAATCTTCAGATACTACATTGACTTGGTGAGAGATATATACGATGGAGCGCTGATTAGTTTGTGAGCAACTAGTGGAGAGACCAGTGAGTTTTCAATGACAATAGGTCTACATCAAGGGTAAGCATTGAGCCCGTACCTCTTTGTCTTAATTATTGATAATTTAACTTGCCACCTGCAAGATGAGATACCGTGGTGCGTGTTGTTCGCATATAACACACTTTTGATCGATGAGATACCGTAGTGCGTGTTGTTCGCATATAACACACTTTTGATCGATGAGATACCGTGGTGCGTGTTGTGCGTATATAACACACTTTAGTACTTTAGAGGGATGCTCCAAAATCTAAAGGTTTTAAAATTAGCCAAACTAAGACAAAGTATATGGAATGCAAGTTCAAGTAGTAAGAGGAGTAGAGATGAAGAAGTAGTTAAGATTGACAACCACAAAGTATAAAAAAGACCGCACTTTTGTTACTTTGGGTCAATAATGCAGAAAAATTGAAGGATTAAGAAAGATGTCACACATTAAATTAGAGCTAGGTAGGTGAAGTGGAGATGTGCTACTGTATTTTTATGCGATCGCCGCAAACCAATAAAGCTGAAGGGTAAGTTCTATAAGATAGTTGTGAAACCAGCTTTATTTTATGAGACAGAATACTGGGCGAACAAAAAACAATATACCCATAAAATAAGTATAGCGGAGATGAGGATGTTGAGATGAATGAGTGTCAAGATAAGAAAAGATTGAATACAAAATGCATCCATTCGAAAAAGTTTAGGTGCGGTACCAATAGGTGATAAAATGAGAGAGAGTAGATTTAGGTAGGATGGCCACGTGTGGTGACGACCCAGTACAACACCTGTTAGGAAGTGCGAGTTAGTTCAAGTAGAAGGATTGAAAAGGGCAAGGGATAGACCCAAAAGGACATGATTAGAAGTAGTCCGAGAATATATAAGGATTTATGGTATCACTGAGGGTAAGGCCTTAAATATAGCAGAATGACGGATCAAAATTCATATAGCCAACCCCAATTAATTGAAAAAAAGCTTTAATGATGATATGTTTTGAAACAATAATATTTGTTCATCTTATAAAACCCCACCTAGGATATTGAAGTTTAACTCAAAAAGGCTTTCACATGGAAAGGTAGGCCCATCCCCATACGAATGCAAGCAACCCATCTTTAGGAAATAAAAATTTGAAACAATAAAATTAAAATATAAAAATGAGTGGAGCCAGATTGGCTAGTTACCTGATAGATTTGAAAACCACCCTGACACTGATATATAGACCAATGTTAGAAAGAGTGACTTAGATTGAGTGCACAGCCTAGGCCCGAGTCTGGGTAGCTCAGCCTGAGTTGTGCCAAGTTCTAGCCAAGGCCAAAAGGTGACTCTGTTATTTTGAAACTATATCCCACAACGATAATGGAAGGGACAACCACAACGACGAAGAGTATCTTTAAAGTTACATTAATCAAAACAAATCTAAATGAGGTTAAAAAAGTAGTAAAAAATATATTTAAAAATTAACTTGTGACGGGATATTTTAGAAATTATATAAAAATATAGAAAAAAAAAACATTCATGACAAACACTTTTTAATGTTTGCCAAAATGATAGAAAACAAAAAAATATATTACAAATATTTTTTACTATATTTTAAAATTCTTTTAAAAATTACTCGCCGGTTACTCCTGTTAGTCCAAACCGGCTTGCCTATATTAAGCATTGGCTCCCACCACTAAGGCGGAAACCAAAAAAATGAGCATCGCGCCCCACTCCTCTACAGCAGGAAAGTGAACCCGAATTATTTCCCAAAAAAGGGTCTGAGACACATGGATGGGTCATGCATGCCTACTCTAAATGGCTAAGAGACGAACACAAGATTGAGCACCCACAGTTTTGGTCTGCTCAGAAAGGTGCCTTCAAATGCTCCTTTTTGCTGACATTTATTATATTATATAAATATAAAGCTATAAAGACAAAAGAAGTTCGAGAATACACAACCAACAAATCTTTTATTTGTTTTTTTTAAGATTATACATATGCTTCCAACCAAGGGATTTTATTAAGGGTGCAGTTTGTATAAAGCTGAGGCTCTAAACAATCAAAGTAGAGCCCAACTTCAAGTAGTGTCGAGAAATGTGGTTTCAATACTAGAAATGTTTATGCCTTAAAATATATTTTCATTTCTAATTATAAAATTTAAAGCTTCAAAAATAATGTAGATTGAGCAGATCTATGAAATCTTGAAAATTAACCGTTCAAAAATGTATGACAAAATGCACTATTTCCAAAACTTGAAATCTATTTTTTTTTCAATGTTCATGAATCTTGCTAGAAGATGATCAATTTGAGGATATATAGACATCAACACAACTTCTTCTAATGAAATTAATTGAGGTAGGCTTGATTTGATTGTCTAGAGCCTAGGCTCTATATAAACTTTTTCCTTTCTGCATTGAAAGAAATAATCATATCAAAAGAATCCGTAGGGATGAAAAGGCAAAGAATCTTGCAGCAACCCACCATTAATATCCTCTATTAAACAAATACTCAACTCCCATTAATAAACAGGTGTACATTTTAAATTAATATATATATATATATTACTATATATATATATATATATATATATATATATATATATATATATATATACTACGTACCGCCCCTACCACACACACTCTACGAAGTATACTATTAATTTAAGTTTAGTTAGTAGTACTTAACTTTAAACTTACTACACAGTAGTGTAGGTAGT